ACAAATTTTGACGTTGTGGAATGGCAGAGTCTTAAATTTTGGATATTCCCTGCACAAATTTGGAGATTGTGGAATGGCAGAGTTTTAATTTTGGATATTCCCAGCACAAATTTTGAGGTTGTGGAATGGCAGAGTCTTAAATTTTGGATATTCCCAGCACAAATTCCACCCCTGCCAGGAATTGTTTAATTCAGAATTTCCATCCCTGGCAGGATTTGTTTAATTTTGGAATTCCACCCTGGCAGAATTTGTTTAATCCTGGATTTCCATCCCTGGCAGGATTGGTTTAAATCAGAATTTCCATCCCTGGCAGGATTTGTTTATTTTTGGAATTCCATCCCTGGCAGAATTTGTTTAATCCAGAAATTCCATCCCTGGCAGGATTTGTTTAATCCAGAATTTCCATCCCTGGCAGAATTTGTTTAATCCAGAAATTCCATCCCTGGCAGGATATTTTAAATTCAGAATTTCTATCCCTGGCAGGATTTGTTTAATTTAGGAATTCCATCCCTGGCAGGATTTGTTTAATGCAGGATTTCCATTAAATTAAATTAAATCCTGAATTAAATAATTTTATTCTGCTCTCAGAGGGCAGGGTGGGACAGCAGCCCCTGCTGGGATATCCCAAAGCAAAGAGGGAAATTAAAAAAACCCCCAAAAAACCAAACCAGCAGCACTAAAACCAACCCTCACCTAAAACTACTCTTACATTTTTGGGAATAGAGGAGTTGTAAAGACAGGAAAGGAGGAAAAACTGCTTTTTTTTTTTTTTTTTTTAGGGTTTTGAGGTTATTTTTCTGGGAAATGAGCACATCCAGCTTCTCTGCAGCAGGATGAGGCTGCTCAGAAAATTCCAATTACTCCAATTCCCATCTCCATGTTCCAGTCAGGAGCTGGAAATTCTGAATTTTGTCAGGCCCAGGGCACGGGTTGGATGTTGTAGGAATGTGCTCTGGATGGGGAGAATAGAAATGTTTCTTTTGGGATGTGGCACCTCAGGTTTGGGATCTGACTCCTTCCAAAAATAAAAATATCCCTGAGTCCTGGGCTGGGATTGCTTTTGGGAAAATCCCAGGCTGGAGCAGGGAATTCCCAGCCCTTTTTTTTTTAGAAACAAGGGAATCCAAACCAGATTTGGGGGCCCTGATGGGCTCAGAATGAAACTGGAAAAAAAATCCGATTTTCTGCTGCCCTCAAATGCAAAGCAAACCCAACCACTGCTGCTGTTGGATGGAAACTCAGGATTTTTTTTTATTTTTTCCCTAGAATGTTACTCTTGATTTAATCATAAAATCGTGGAATGGTTTGGGGTGGAAAAATCCTTCATGATAATCTAAATCGAAGATAAAAGATGAAAGATTTGAAAATAAAAAAGATAATATGTAAAATAATATGTAAAAAAAATATAAATTTATGATAGAAAAGATAAAAAAGATTTAAAGATAATCCAATTCCCACTGTCCCAAGCTGCTCCAAGCCCCAGTGTCCAACCTGACCTTGGACATTCCAGGGATTTTCAGCTTCTCTGGGAATTCCATCCCAGCCCCTCCCAGGGAACAATTCCTAATTCCCAAAATCCCATCCAGCCCTGCCCTCTTCCATCTTAAATTTATTTCCCCTTTTTCCTCTCTCTTTTCTTTTTTCTTTTTCACTCCATTCCCTTTTCCCTAAATCCCTCTCCACGCTTCTCTCCAATTACATTTTGGAATTTTCCCACCACTCTGTGTATTTTTATTTTCTAGCTTTTTATTTTTTTTTTTTATTTTTTCCTTGTCTGAAATCACTCTCAGAGTCCGGGGAAGGATCTCCAGCCCTTCCTGCAGGTTTTTTTCTGGGTCATTTCTCACCAAAAATTCTTTGCAGAGCAGCCTGGGACAGTGGGAGGTGTCCCCAGTCCACGGCACTGGATGAGCTTTAATCCCAAATTTCATTGCATCATTCCCTGCTGCCTGAGGGGATTTTTTTGGAATCTCAAGATTTTTCTTTCTTGCCTGATTTTGGGATTTCAGTGGGAATAATTTTGGCACTTTTCAGTTCTTTTCACATCACCTCATTTCATCTCAGTCCGTTTGGTCCTAGTCACTCCGTTTGCAGAATTATTTTTTAAATTTTTTTTTTTTTTTTAAATTTTTCAATTGCATTTGATTTGATCAAATCTCCTTTTCCAGACTTTTTGCTCCACTTTCAGATGTACCAGGGGGGGACAAAATTCCTTCAGGGATCAGCGGGGCAGAACCACATTTCCCTGTGAGTGACACAAAACCCTCAGAGAAAACAACAGAAAAAAAAAAAAAAAAAAAAAAAAAAACAACCAAAAAAAGAAAAGAAGGAAAACCCAAACTCTTTACAGAAACTTTCATGCTTGTCTGTGCAATATAACTGAATAATAATGACGTTCTGAGGTTATTATTATTAAATTTTAAGAATAAATTCTCTACAGCAGCACAACCATTCATTTTCTGCTCTCTCCAAACCTACGAAGTTCCAACTTTATCCAGTGCTTGGATGGAGCAAGGAAAGTTTTTTTGGACAAGAACGGAGAGGCTGACAGGGAACACAGTGTGCAGGACATGTGCAGGCACTCGAACAAAAATGCAAATCCAACTCTCCAGTCTCCAGCTTTTCCGGCCCCCAAAGAATTGCCAGAAAAATCATTCCAGTCAGGGAAAACAAAAAAAAACAAAAAACAAACAAAAAAAAAAAAAAGATGAAGATGCTGCTGCTGCTGGAGAAATTCTCTTCAATTGTTTCCAAACTCATTTTATTTTTATTTTAGTTTTGAATAAGTGAGGGGAAGGTCAGGACACGGAGCCCGATTGTCCCTCCCTGCTCAGGGCAGCCCTGGAGGGTTGGGGGAGGATCCTGAAGCCCTTGGGGTGATCCTAAATCCCAGGATTGCTGCCCTGCCCTGCACGGAGATGGGAGAAGGGAAAAGCCCAGCTGGGATTGAACTGTC